TTGACGCGCATCAGCAAATTTGACAGGTAACGGCTGACAGCCACTCGCCGACGGAGGGATATTTTTTTCATTTTTTTCGAGATTTTGCGCGCCTAGGACACAAGTGGAGACACAAGATGGTGCGAGCCCGACACAAACAAGTTCGTGACGTCGACGTGACGTCGAGTGACCTTTCCTGGCGGTCGGTGTGGCGTGAGCTGAGAGCCCAAGGCTGGACTAACAAGCGTCCGTCCAGCCGTGGCCTTGACGACAGATATCGCTACGTCCGTCCCGGATGCAACCCCGACGGAGTCGAAGGAGTCGACGTTTTCCTGGGAGAAAAAGCAGTGCTGGAGTATTATGCGAACGGTAAGGTACTTTAGTGATGTTATTATCAATTGGTAACTAACGTTACATGTTTGCGTACACAGAGCTACGTACTTGAGCGCGAACATCCAGTCTACCTACCCGTGATGATGCTGATCTAGAGTGCGCTGCTCAAGTCGTTCGCGATACCTACGGCCACCTATTTGAAGGACAAGTGGTCGCAACGAAGCGGAGAGCGTGCCACAACCTTCGCAACCATCTCAAACGCTTTCACCGCCTCGAAGTGCACCTCCTAATGTCCCTGCAAGTGCCCCAACATCCCCACCGTCTAGTCCTGGAGCTGGGCGACGGTCTTCGCGCCCTACGAGGCGCTCATTGGCTGATTCAGAGAGTCCTATGGCGGCTACATCTCCGCCACACACGACACTGATTGCTTCGTCACCCCATGTCAGCGTTGGTAGTCCGGACAACTTCGGCGACGACCCCGAGTTTGAAGCCGAGGAGACTGTGGACGATATGTCGGTGGAATCGGTCGAGGAAGGAAGCGATTGCCAGCCTGGTGCGTTTTATATTATGCTGCATCTTGTGCTGCATATAGTACTGTATCTTGTGGTGCATTTTCACTGATTTGTGTATGGTTCGTTGCTTTATATATGGTAGTGTTGGAGATGGAGTTGACGATGACGATGAAGATGGAGGAGTGAGCAGTGAGCTACTTGTTGATAAAGACGACTCGCTCAATACGGTGTGTGATGGAGACGACGCTGCCGAGTATGCTGCCATGGAATCTGGTGATGCTGCTGCAAAAGACGATTTGGTTATGGATGAAGACAGTGGAGACGATGACGAATGCGCTGATACGTACATTCCACCTGATGAAGACGAATCGGAAGCTTCTGAGACTGAGATTGCTGCTGAAGTTCTGTTCGCGGAGCGATTCCTATCTAGTTTTGGAGGAGGGGGCGCAGTGTTAGCTGGTAATCTCAAGAACGATGTTCTACGTGAAATGGCTGCGGCTGGTTGGGAAGATGTGGAGGAACCAGATACGTTTGGCTACATGAACACGCCGTACGAGCCGGTGGACAACACACGAAGCTACCCTGGGCTACGGCAAGGGTATTCGGGCCCCACAGCTGATGCACTGCGCAATGCTGACTCTCCGCTTGCGCATTTCGTTTTCTTTCTACCAGTGGTGCTGTGGCAGCACATTGCGGTGTGCTCCAACGAGTATGGGCGTGAAATGGCACGCCTTCGTGTTGATGAACGGTACAAACACTACCGTAGCAAGTGCCGGCTCAATCCTCAACTACCAAAGAAGAC